GGAAAAAATAGGACCACGACGCAACTCCTTTTTTGCTTGGATGTTTTCCGAGTGAAATGGCTGGCTAGTCCATCCCACCCAACACGGCGGGTTAACGGTGGCATTGTACAAAATTGGCTGGGGAAAGCACTGGTGGTTCGTTTAAACACTTGTTTAAACCAAACCAGTTCTACCGAGGCACTTCTCTCCGGGGCTGGAAACAGCCTGCGCGCCAAAGGAAATTGGGCCTCCTTTTGGCTGCTATGGAAGACCGTTATGCTCCGGAGGAGGCCGAGTCCCTGAAGTTGCAGCTGCATGCATGCCAATTATTTTATGCGTTGGCTGGGAAGCCTCCAGCACCTGCACGTTTTTAGGCCGTTAACGCGGTGGCTGAGTCTGTGCGACGCACGGGTTTATATGCATTTGCATCAGAGACTGCCCGGAGGGGGCCTGAGACCCCCTGCGGTACTGGTGGTCTATAACTGTGGGAGTGTAACGGATGGCGAGTGCATGTGTGTTGATGAGACTCAGCCAAACTACCGGTAGCGTCGGCCGGTGGATGTGGCGCGCGCTGATTTTGAATGTTTACGAGCTGCGCTTTCGGGTTCAGGACAGTCGTGACGAGGGTGCGCTTTTCTCTTTTATGTCTTTTTGCCCGTCGGGGACCAGATCTAACCAGCATGAGATGGTCTTCTCCTGGGTTTGAACCGGCTGTGAAGATGAAGCAGAACAGTCGGGCACGTGGATGCGGTGCGCGCTGATTTTGAATGTTTACGAGCTGCGCTTTCAGGTTCAGGACAGTCGTGACGACGGTGCGCTTTTCTGTCTTTTCGCCCTTCGGGGACCAGATCTAACCAGCATGAGATGGTCTTCTTCTGGGTTCGAACCGGGTGTGAAGATGAAGCAGAACAGTCGGGCACTAATGGGCCGTTGCAACTTTGAGTCGGTTGTAGATCAGGATTCACGCCTGTCGTGGAAGAGCAAGAGGGCGATGTGTAGATGGGTGGGCAGGGAAAGGAGACCCTGCAGGAGTCTGGAGGGAGGTGGACATCGGACACAACTGAGAAGGTGGTCCGCCTTGAAATCATGGTTGATTGGGTTCTGTAGGGAAAAAAGAATAAAAAAAAAGAGGCAGGAGTTGGAGATTAGATCCTGTGGTGGGGATGTGGGGAGAAGAGAGGTGGTTATTAATGGTGAGGGGGCAAAAAATAAGGTGGA